GATACATAGATAAATAGATAGATAGTTAGACAGATAGATAGATAGATAGATAGGCAGATAGATAGATAGATAGATAGATTAGATAGATTAGATAGGATTAGGTGAGATTAGATTAGATTAGATTGATAGATTGATAAATTGATTGATAAATGGATAGATAGATATATATAAATATATATTTATATACATATAGAGATATTTTTAGATATCTATATCTATATATATATACATGGATATTTATATATATATATTTTGGCAGCGTCCAAGTCCCATCCCTGAGGACCTTTTCCACATCTGGGCATGAAAGTCCCTGCGAATGGAGAGGCGGTGAATCAACACTGGTCTCTATCTAAAAGGTGAAAAACTTCCTGGTGTCCTTTGCTAAGATCTCACGTCCATTTGACACGCTGCACATTGGTGCCCGGAATCATCGGCATCTGTCCATCGTCAGAAGCTCCAGACATAGCATGAAGATATTTGGCCAGATCTTTCAACAAGGCTGATCCACTCTCGCGACGTGCGAGGAGATACTTCCGATATTCAATCATCTCATCCGAGTTTTCCAGATAGACCTGGTAGTAAGACTTCTTGCCTTTGAACTTGCCGAATGTCACCTTGAAGGAACCCCAATCCTGCAAGGACTGAACCCCTGGAGGAAATGTCACCTTCACTGGCACCTCGTACTGGTCATGGGACATTGGAGGACTGGAATGTTGAGGCATCACATATCCCTGCGTCACTGCATCATCATCATTTTCATCCAGATCTACAGCTGCATGAGATCGTTTGGAAGCATCGGTCATGGCCCCATGGCCAGAGATCCCTTTGGCACAGATCTCATCACATTTGGCGTAATCGCCATCAGTGAGACCCACTGCGGCCAAATCGGCCTGCAAACCTTCCTCCACTCGACGCACTCGATTCATCACCAAGTCAAAGGCTCCACGCTGGCGGGCACGAGCCACCAACTCCACACACTTGTCATGGTCGTCGATCGACCAGGGAACTCGGTGATCACCGGACGTTCGAGGCATCTTTGAGTTTGACATCTTAGTCAATTGAATTAAATCAAAAAGGGGAAAGGCACCACGGAAAGGATTCGAGCCACAAGTTGTCTACCGCATTATCTCACTAACAAGGTTCCCTACTTATACCCTGGACATTGCTCAGGCTTAAGTGACCCCTTGCCCATTGATAATGGAAATTATCTTTATTATTATTATCCCCTTTCTGGATATTACAACCCCACTGCTTTTCGGCATTTTTATTTTTCGTTTTTCAGCTGAGGTTGGTTCTCAGCGCTCCCCTTGGGACCACATGCTGTTTTCTGCGCAAAGGTCTGACGTCTGATGCGTTCGTCGGCACGCAGCTCTAGGATCTTCTCTTCAGGGCTAATCTGGTATCTGCCTGTTCTCAGGCAAGCACGCAACAGGTCAAAGGCTTCTGGACTTTCCTTTGTCAGGGCGTCTGCAAGCATTCTATTGGTAGGGAGCCACCTTAGGAAGGCATTCAATCTATGGATGGAGTCGCGAATGATGATGATATCTATGGCAGTCCTACGATCTTCTAAGGTAGGGGATGACTGTGAATACAAATGGTCGTACAGCGACTTGCAGTCTGTAGCAAACAAAACCAATCGGTCCTGAGTTCTGTTCCAACATGAATGGGCAAACCTTGGACCTTCGAGTGCTTCAGACACTAGAAGCGTGATCCACTCGCACATGCTGGATGCCACGGCCATGCTTTGAGCTTCTGCACTTAGTGTTGAGCTCACTACTCTAGGCAACCGAGCACTTCTCCAAAACACTGGGGACCAATCACACATTTTTCCTTCATTAATTTCTTTACTGGTGAAAGCAACCAAAAATCCAGCCTGTGTTGCATTAGCTTTTGCATTGCCAAAAGCAGCATCGCTGTGACACATCACGGACAACTTTTCCGGAGCTATGCTACAGAAACATATTTCCTGGTCTCTATGCTGCTTTGCACGGCGAATCGCATTGTTTGCTGCCAATGCATCAGCCACTGTGGGCACTGGAAAAGACTGCTGAGAGAACGATACCTGAGTGGACAGGTCAGGTCTTGACTGTGTGGCCAGCCAGTTCAGCCCTCCGTTGATAGCTCGGAGACAGCTGATTTCTTTTTCTGTCAACGGTGAATCTCGTTCTTTGATACGTTCTTTGGAAAAATGCATAGGTCTGAGCTTGTCGATGAATTTTTCTTGGGACATTTTTACTTCAAACGTTGTTGGACATTGTTTGTAAGTCGCCCCACAAAAATCTCCACCCTCAAACCCATCTCGCCATTTTCGGAATTCAAAACTGGTCTGAAGTGTTTTGAGAGCCTTTTCATACTTTTGGCCTACACCAGCGGTAGCACAGTCATCTACATGAATGCCATATATACCTGTCAGCTCACCATTCTCTCTCAGGTAAAAAAGGCAACTGTCAAAACGGGATCTCTCAAAACCAGCTTGCAGCAACACTGTCGATAGGCGACGGTACCAAGCTGATGGTGAATCATTGAGACCATACACATGGCCCAGCACCTCGATGAGAGCTCCCTCAGGAATTCCTGGGATTCCTCCCTGGGGCAGACGAGCATACAACGGCCGGTATCGCATGGGCAAATCCCCTGCAGAGAGAAACGCACCTCGAATGTCACCAAGCTTGAGTCTCCATTTAAAGGACGAAATCAACTGAAACACCATGTTCCTAGCAACTTGGGACAGAGTAGGAGACTGGAGATCTCCTGCAGTGGCTTTCTCTCGGAGGTCAGGGTCTAAATGGCCCTGCAAGCACCAGCGTGCTTTGACTCTGGCCGGAGCGTCGTCCTCCTGTTTGATGGTCATGACATACCTACTACCCATGATACGGTGAGGAAACTTTGATCGGACCTGATCAGCTTCCGGGCCCAACACAACTCGGGCAGCATTCTTGGCGAGGATCGTATTCCATTCCAACAACTTAGCCTCATCGATTTTACTTTGCAGTTCAGGTGGATTGCCAGTACCTTGAATTTCTTTTGATGCCTTCTTTTGCAAATAGCTGGCTACCATGACTTCAACTGGAACCTGTTGATTCAACATGTCATGAAGTTCTTGTCGCTCTTCATTGGTAAGTTGTTCAGTAGGAGTGTTTGGAACATGTTCTACCGACAAAATTGTCACTTCATCCTGGGAGAAGGTGTGACCTTCTTCTCTGTCAACCACATCGGCAGGAAGGACATCGCTACGGTCGGGAGAGACAGTTCGCTGGCTCTTGGCAGAGGGCTCCAACGCTGGAGCATCTGGTGAGGCATCTCGCTTTACTCCGGCAGAACAGCCAGCAGATGAAGCTGATTCGGCACCTGGCATGGCTTGATCTTCTTGATTAAGGACCTGCTCTAACAACTGAGGAACCACCTCTTGCATCATTTCTGCAAAGTCATCTTGAGCCATGGAGCCAGGACGATACAGCGACATCGGACCCTGTTTCCCTAGCACCTTCCTACGGATAGGGCCATACCCTTCACTGTCTTGGGCATTCCCTGGACTCGGGTCCGACAGTGACTTCGGGTTCACTGCGGGAGCAGATGGCATTTCAGGCTCAACGGCAGGACCGGCAGCATTTGGCGCTGGAGTCTCTTCAACAGCGGACTGCATTCGGTCTTGAACAGACTGTGGAACAGAGACATTCTGTTCGGCATGGTCGAGAGACGGCTGCTGATCGGGGGCTTCACTAGGATATCCTTGGGGAACCAGATCAACATACTGTTTACTTTGAATAGCTCCCTGATCAATCAAGTGTTTGATACCAGCCAACTCCAACTCGGGTGTTTGGGCAAGTTGTTTCTCGGATTCAGTTGATGGTCTGACTTGTTCTGGAGCACACCTGAAAATCTGTCGTTTATGGATAACCACAACATTTCTACCAACATGACCAAGAACAATTGCGGGCCCATGCCACCTACCATGCTGTTCAAGACTCCCTTGAATCCACTTTTGGGTTCGCCAATAAGCTACATACTGTCCTGGAGACACACTTGGAGTGACTCTTGGTCGAGCTGCCAGAGCAAGGCGCAGCGCCTTCGCATCCTGTAATTCCAGCACTGCCCGTCGGGCGGATTGCCTGGTAGCTACCTGCTTTGCAATTGCAGCTTGATACAACGAGGCTGTTGCTGGAACTATCTCCAACGGCTCATCAAGAAGGTTTTCAGGGATCCTGGGGTTGACACCAAACACATGTTGAGAGGGAGTCATGCCATATACTTGGATCAGCTGATTCTTACAGTGGGAGGCATGTACACAATCCAACCATTCAGTCTGATTACCTGGCTGTTGTTCCTCTACAACTTTTCGGAGAACACGGTTAAACCAACCCCCATGGACTTCTACCTTCCCAAGCTGATGATGGGCATCAGCAGCGGTGACACGGATGGCTACACCCCGCTCCTCGAGCGGCTGTGTCAAGGCATCTGCAACGTTTGGCTTGGCAGGATCTAGGATGACTTCGGTTGGCATACCGGCCCATGACACCCATCTTTCCATGAAGGCATGACGAATGCTTTCGGATGTTTCACGCTTGAACAGTGGTACCATCATTTGCATGCTACTACCATAATCAAGGATATTGAGAGCAGGAATCTTCTGGTTTATTTCCCAACCATCCAAATACTTGATATCAAGACCTACCAAAGCATTGAACTCCGTCACTCGGTTGGTCTGGGCTGGGAGAGCCAACCGTGGTCGTGCCTGTGCGATGCACTGTTCACATGCAAAATCTCTGGCCAACTGCAAGGCTTTGGTGGATGCGCCACCATGCTTGAGGATTCGAGCTAAGTGCTCATTTGGAGGGTGACCTAAATTCTGATGAAGCTTCTTCAGGCTAGCTTTGATTTTTTGTTCATCATCAGCCTCTAGCTCTTCCCCATGCGCGGCAACGAGACATTCGGCAGGGCTATCATGGTGTAGCACCAACACGTCTGTGGCAGGCAGTTCATGGACCGTCTTCAACACAGCT